CAGACAGCAGGAATATCATACTCTGTAACATTTCACAGATGAAAACCAGGACAAGCAGTCCTAAGAAAGATGTTTTATCTTGGTTGGAGGTATCAACTTTTTTGTTGCTGATGGAGTTTAAAATTTTATTGCCTGGATTTTAGGAGTCTTTGTTGTCTCCCAGAGCCCTCAAGGCCAAAGATTGCTGTGGCTTCTGCTTACTTTGCGATCCCTCCAGACCATCTTAATGACCATAACAAAAAATACATCTTGACAAAATGTATGCCTCTCACTCCAACATTGGCTCCCCTCCCCTTCTCCTGTATGATCTGCAACACCTTTACCTGGTAAAGAAACCAGTGGAGCTTCAAGAGCTTCCAGGATGTATTTTGTGCATTTTCGGTTGGATTTGGATTTTGCCATTTTGGGATTTTTGATGTTTTTCTAGAGGTTATACAGTTGATTTGGGCATTTGGCCCCAAAATGCTATTGCTGGTTCCAAAGAGAGAAGACCCATTGAATCAGTTATTGAATGATGAATTAACACTTGTGTGAAACCCACTTATTCAAGGAATCTTCTCTCAGTAGGACCAGCAATTGGATACAATAGGCAAAAGGACCTTGTAGTACCTTTGAGACTAATTACTGTGCAAAAGAAGTTGTAGCATAAGTTTTCCTAGACTTAAGGCCTTTACAGACTGCCAGAAATAATGCAGCTTGAGGCCACTTTAATTGCCCTGCCTCAGTGCTAGGGAATCATGAGAATTGTATTTTTTTTTTCTGGAACATTGAGCTTTCTCTGTCAGAGAGCTCTGATGTCACAATAAACTACAGTTCCCATGATTCCTTAGCACTTTTTTCTGGCAGTCTGTAAAGACCCCTGGTCTTCTTCCCCAGTTACATGGAGTGAACTGGGATCTTCATAGTCAGACTGCATGACTAGCCATAGAAATGTAAAACTTGTAGGTCTGGTGATGAGTTGGCAATTAAGTTTTAATGATGGTGATGAGGGACAAAGGCAGGAAGAAAGATGTTGCCTAAGACTCGGGTGGGGATGGTGGAGGGAGATTTGGAAGTTGGGGGTCAGAAATGAGGTCTGTTAAATGGACCAAGAGCATGTGAATGGTGGAGGGAGTTTTGGAATGAGGTGTTTGCAGACTGGGAAACAGAACAGAGATATGTTAAACTGGCCAAGAGCACCCTCATGAGGCTGGGGCATTTAACCAATGTTATAATATGTGCAGTGTGCCACATACTGTTTTATTCAGGATTTGAAAGACCAACTCAGTGGCATTCCCAGCAGGGATGCTCTTCTTAAACTCATAACCTGGAAGTCACCCAGGAGAAAGGGAAGAGAAAGCAAGAAGACTCCCAGGCAAGGCAGACACAGAGAGAGATGAATAGAAAGAGACGTGCAGATTATGAGGTGTTTATGCTTTCTTGAAATTAGACTCTTGGAAGCAAGACAGGTTTACCTTGGCCAAAAAAAAATTAATGGCAGACACAGAGAGAACACTGATCAGCATGTAGTCAAGGCATGAAGGAGGGAGATGCAGTGATCAATCGGGAGGGTGAAAGTGAACAAATGGGATGAATAGAAGAATGTAAAAAGGATGGCAATCATTATTTATATCACCACATGCCTCAGAAGTTCTGGCATAGGAACCCTGGCATCATACATAGGGCCTACCCCTTATGACTGCATTGGTAAAAACTAGCTTGTTGGCAACAGAAAGAGTGAATTAATCCCAGATATGAAATAATGATCCTTATGAGGTGTCCATTACCTTCAAGGGTCAGCTGTTACCTGTAGTTGAATGAGCAATACTACAGAGATGAAGCTATGGAATGGGGACATTACTCCTTTGCACCCCTCATGTAATTTGTCTTCCATCTCCAAATTTCTAGCCTTGCAGTAAATTAAAAATTCAGTTGCACATTTAGAAAGAGAGTTTAGGCATCCAAAGATAAGGATGACCAAGGGAACACCAACACAACAAAAAGAAGAGTTCGGCAGTGAACAATTTTCAAGGTCTCACTCTCTGCAATGCTAGACATTTAGGGAATGAAGGAAAATTTAATTGGGGGGCTGAATTTTTATTTGGAGGGGCAATGCCCCCTCCTTCCATAGCTATACTCCAGCCTGTCTGCGCCAAAGCTCTTCTCTTCCTCCTGACAGTATTGTTGTAAATTGGAACCATGTTGGAGGGCATCTGTCATGGCTTCTTCCCACACCAGCATATGTCAACCAAGAAGTGAAGCTGTGTTGATAGGGAAAAGAGAGGCAGTGTTGATGTCTCCCAACATTCGTCATTGTTCCAATGCTACCAAGCACTATCCATGGTCATTGGGAAGGAATCACCTGTGAGGTGAGACAATGTGGGTTTACTCCATCTTTCTTAACTGCTGCCAACCAAATTGGTGTGTGTCTTGACTTGAAAAGTGAACGAAACAGCTAACATCCAAGTTAATGCAGGCCAAGGAGAAGTGGTCCCCTTTAGACTGGTTTGGTGCTTCCCAAAATGAAATGGGATCCCCTATGAAGCTAAGAGAACTGAAGCTAGATCATTAAAGACTCCATCCAGACTTTGGAAAGGCAGAGCAGCTTTTCAGAAAGGTAAAAATAGCCTCTTTTTGTGGATGATGTCCAAGGTGCAGGAGACGAGAGGGAGAGAATGGGACTAAATGAACAACATGGCCACCTTCTAATCCCAGGGCACTTTTTATGAGGAGCTCATAAAACAGTTCAGGCAAATGTTCCTGATGGGACTGTAATTTTCATAAAAGAGAGTTCCAACTTCCTCTTGCTCATTATTTATAGTGTTAAACAGGTTTGGAAACATCAGGACTTCCTAACTCCTGGATCTGTGTTCTTTTGAGACTTCCTAGTTTTTTGGACTATGGACACCTCTCTGATATGGACTGGTTTCATAGCCTTCCAGAAAAGAGGAGGAGGAGGAGGGATGCCAGTACAAATCCTTGACTGCAATGCTTCCAGGGACAGAGAGGGGTTTACACTGTGAGAACAGGGAAAGGAGTTACCATGCTGAGAAAGTGGTAGTGTGTGTGTGTCTGGGATCCTTCAGAGTGGATTTCTTGAGCTGGGAACCAATCCTGGGGAGGCAGCTGTGGTCTCTCATGCCAGAGTCTGGCGGCAGAACTTGGCCTTGAGGCAAACATCTTAATGAGAACTGGAGAACAGCGGACAAGAGGTGTGCAAAATCTTCCAAATGAAAGAATTTCTCATTCTTGCAGAAGTGTCTAATCCCCCCCACAGAATTTTCAGATGTTTTGCTTCCTTTAAGTTTGCTTTAAATTCCATAGGATAGAATCCATCTTACACACATGTCAGTTCCTTGTAAGAAGTGGTTGGACACTTTTGTCCAGCTGTGTCCGGTTCAAGGTTGCAAAGGAAGTGTTGTGAGTGCAATACCATTGTGCACAGTGGTGCATGTGAATGCACATTTCACATTGTGAGTACAGATTTGTGTGCAGCATCACAGTATGCTAACAAGGCAGCATTGCACAACCATGTTGTGACTCCATGAGTGAAAAGACATGCTCCATCTCCTTGAAGCAGAACCTCAGTCTCTATTAGTTGAAATATCTGAAGGCCATGTAGGAAATTACAATCTATCACCAAGTTTGAAGCCAATGATTTGGAGTTCTTCCCCTCCCACCCATGCCAATTTGTCAGTTATTATCAAAAGCACATTGGTCCAGTCCTCCCATCCTCAGGCATAGGGGGAAAATGTTTTTGCAGAATGCTAATGCTCTCCTATGTAGCCTTCAAACTGCCACATATGCTTCAACCAAGAAGGGACACCTCTGGATTGCCCTTAGATTTCGTTTTCTGCTCAACATGCCCTCAGGCAGCGACTTGCATCTGATCCCTTCAGCTCTGACTCCTTCACTTGCAGAGCCTGAAGAGAGCAAACTGTGCCCTATTCCTCTGCTGTCCTTCAAAGGAAAATGAAACCGTGCATTCCTAATTGGAGCCAATTTCCTCAGGTTAGCAGAAGGGATTAGCAGTAGCTGTGGCCCAGACCTCAGGAGACCCTGGAACAGTTCAGCAGGATTGACGATTGCCTTGGAGACACAAGTAAGAATTGGCAACGAGAAGACGAGAAATCCAAGAGCCTCTTGGGACCTTGTGTTTCTCCTAAACCATTGTAGGCTGTCCACCGCTTTATTGAGAGGTAATTAAATTTCCGTTCATCATGATTTCTACTTCCTGCCTTGTTCCCCCCATGACTGGTAATATCAGGAGAAACAGAGAGGAGAGATGTTAAGGGCAGGAGGACTGACAGCCATGTCAGGCTGGCTTGGGAAGGAAGCTGATAAGAAGACCCAAGGCAACACAATTTACAGGGACATTTGGCATTTGAAAAAAAATCATTCTCTCTGAATTCCACCTTCCAAATGACTTGTTTCCATAGATACCCACCTTTTTTCCAAGGTAATGTTTACAGTGAACCCCTGAGGTATGTTAGACTATCAGACTCATCTGCTCTCTGTCCATCTCCATCTTGTCCTGAGCTCCT